AAAAAAAAAAAAAAAAAGGCATTCCAAACATTGGCCAGTAGCCAATGCAAAAGGTTAAAATAGATTGCCACACATCTGCCTGCACTAATACCGACGAATCTGTAAGTACGCGAATTCTTGCTCTGGTGAGGCAGCTCACCTGGTTAGAGTGCTGTCCCGATACGCCACGGTTGCAGGGTCAGTCTCTGGTCACGGCACAAACTAGAACCAACCAATGAATATATAAATAAGTGGAACAAAAAATCGATGATTCTCTCTCTCACTAAAATCAATAAAAATTTTTTTTAAAAAGAGCACGAATTCTTTTCTTTTTATAGCCCCAGCATCCAGTCACAGACCCAGGCACATGGAAACTCAGTATGTCATGAATGATGAACAACCTCTCAAAAAATATTTGAAGTGCTAAACTACATTTGAAATATGAACTGTGCTAAAGACACTCCAGTGTCTGGTTTTGATCAGCTGAAACAAGCAACTGGATAAAGATTGTGGTCAAGAATAATATGCTCAGCCCCAGATGGGTGGCTGGTTGGTTGGAGCATCATCCCATTCACCAAAAAGGTTGCAGGTTCGATTCCTGGCCAGGACACATACCTAGGTTTCGGGTTCGAGCATACGGGAGGCAGCTGATTGATGTTTCTCTCACATCGGTGTTTCTCTCCCACTTTCTCTAAAATCAATAAACATATCCTCAGGTGAGGGTTAAAAATAATATGTTCTGAGCCTCATTACATGCAACACTTTTCCACCCTCCCCTTTTCCACCCTCCACTTCCTCTGCTTCCACGCAGGGCCTGAGCTTGCTGCCACAGGTGGAGCAGTATAGAAGGACAGGCTGGTCCTTCTCCAGCCCCCAGCACAAGCTGGCAGAAATACAAGAGTATTTGTTGTATTCTATGTGCTCCTTAATTTTTAAAAATTGACAAAAATTTCTAAAGGACATCTGACTTTGAGATTCAGGTATACACATAGAAGACAGTTTTATAACCCTAAAATTTACAACTGCTAGACTCTCAGTTGTGGTTTCCTCTTGGGAGAGTTATCTTTTAATAGGTACTTCACCAATTACAGAGATAAAAATATTACACAATTTAAGTAACTCAATTTCATAATGTCTCATTGTGTGTACACACTGTTTTCATCTGTGTGCTCACCTATTGTTGACAAAATGTCACTGTCTCTTGAAGGGAACAAAACAGAAACTACACTCAATAAGGGTTTCCATTAGATTAAATGCAAACCAGGGTAAGCTTAAGTTAGTTCTTAAATCTCAATCGAGAGAAGAAAAATGGGATGCAGAGTTGGCAGACTTGCTGGAAAGATGAGAACCATAAACTGAGGGATCAATTCTTTCACTACTGTGGTATGGAAAGAGTTTACTTCAAGTACTCACTAGAGGAAAATGTACTTATTTCATTGGGAAGTACATATAAAGGGTGGGTAAATGTAGCTTTATAGTTGTGAGTATGCAAAACAGTTTACTTATATCATTTTTAATTATTGTATTATTTCCCACATGAACCGTAAACCTACTTTTGCCCCACCCTGTATATCACACAAAGGGCAAAGGAAAACAGACTGGTGGGCTGAGGTGATGCTGTTTTTTAAAGCACTGTGGTGAGTTCTTGGGCTGTGAAATCATCCTTACTAGAGTAAAGCAGAAAGAAGCCAGTGATTTCAATGAACTTATAAAGCCTCTTTAAGAGAAAACAGCCCCTAGAATAGAAATTCCTTTCTTGGAAAGTATCATTCAAGAAAACCAGGACATATTGATGCCACACAATGTTTGGCTTGCTCACCTGCCATGCCTTCACGCCACACGTCCTCTCCAACCACCCCCTTCACTGATGCTACAGGCTGGCCTACTCCCTTCCACCACTTAGGGGACCAGCAGCTGCCTCCCCTGACCCTGGAGCTTCCTAGTAAAACCTGACTCAAAAATTAAACCCACTCCTGACCTGTAAAATGAAACAAATCCTCAGTGGCGCTCCTGCCTGCCAAGGAAGGATCTCACACATTTAAAAAGAAAAACAGGTGATGGAAGTTCCAATGAAAAACTACTTTCACTATATCATTGGAAATACTACATCCTCAATTTAGAACCAAAAAACCATTCATGTTTCTGGTAATTTTCAAATTTTATTTCCAACTACTGCAGTAACAATATCAGTGCTAATCCTGCATGGAAAGAGGACAACTTTTAAATAAACAAGGTCACAAAATTAGTACTCCAATAGTACTTTGGCCTATGAAGATTTGATAGGAGAGGATTATTAGCCAGTCCTATAATATTAGAGACTTACACTTCCTCCATACCTAGTCATAAAAATATTCATCTTACCTCAAAGATTCATCACATATACATTCCTACTCTTTATAAGCACTCTCCTTTCAGGGCACACTGGGTGAGGGGAAATTCCTCCCACTCATGGGTTTTTCTATTGTTTACAGAAACAGCAGTCACTTCAGCAGTGATGTACGATAATATAAAATTTTAGTTGAAAAATAAAACAATTATCCTTATCATATCCTTTCTCTGGGAGTAAAAAGACACACACCATTACAAACGTAAAACGAGTCAAACTTCTATTTTATTGACAGGAGTCCAAAATGAATACAAAAAATGCCTCCTTTGCATGTTATATATTTTTTTCCTTAAAAGGCTTGTGATAGAGTCAGGTAGATTAAAAGCTAAGAATGTGTTTCAGCTTTTATAGTGAACCTTTAAAAAAAGGTTTAATAACATAAGTCACCACATCAGAGAACATATGGTCCCACAATCATTTTTAGATCTATAGCTTATAAAAAGAACTAGATCCTGCATTGATCTGCTCAAATAGAGGCTTAAAAATGTTTTAAGCCATTAAAAGCCGTTTTTATAATCTGTCTGATTAACTCTTGGAAATTAAGAAAGCAAAATCCCAAAATGCAGCCCTCTACATTATGTGGAATGTGAGAGAATGCCAACTTATGACCATGATAGGTAAAAATAAGAGGTTTAAAACTATAAATGGAGCTGTGATCAATAATCTTGTATCGCTGCAAAATGTCAATAAATGAATGATAGAGCTTACCAAGATTAAAACTTGAGCGGATGTTACTTAAAACATAGTTGTGATGTTTATCATACTTTAATGTTTGCTAAAACTAAAACTGAACAAATAAGTTGCTCATTTATAGACTGTTTTTCATGTACTTTTTCTTTTACTGGGACCATAAATTGATCAGATAATACAGAGCCCACACTCTGGACAGTTATAACAAAGGGTTTATTATCATTTGCAGATGAAATAAATGTACCCTCCCATACCTGAAAGGCTTTAACAAGCCTTAAGCATTGTTCAGACGATACCAAGGCACCAGCACTGCCTACGTTATATTATGCACCCATTTCCAGGAAAGAACACCTCCCTTGACAATAGTTCGGCACTGTTTCTGGTTTATTATACACTTCCAAAACAGCAAACGTTTGCTAACACGTGCAAACAGCATGGTCCGTCTGCAGCCCTGCTCAGTCGTCATCTTCCTCCTCCTCCTCCTCTTCCTCGAAGCTGTCTTCAAAGCCCTCGCTGTCCTCCTGGTCTTCGTCTCCCTCTATTGCTGTATCCCACTGTGGGTGATTTTCTGGCACAGGCTTAGCCTCATGAACTTCCAACTATAAAGAAGAATTAAATGCAGACATTAACTGATGAAGAAAAGTTTTTCTGTCACCAAAGCAATTACGAAGAACTAGATTTTAGGGTGGTAATTCTAAATTTGCAACATTCAATGAGAAGAGACATTCATCCCAGAAACAAAAAGGTAGATCTACTAACATGTAAGTGTAGTTAAATTTCTGTTTGATAGTTTGATTTTATAGAAGCTGTCTATTCTGTGGCATGAAAAATTAATAATTGTGACTCTTGAGCAAGAATGAGTGATGTCTTAATGTCTTCTGCTGAGGGGGAAAAAGCTCAAATGTGACTTTCAAAGAGGTATTTTGCAGCCTCCAGACTCAGAAAGTAAAATTCTACAGCCAAGGGAAAGAATTATGGTACCCTTGTGGGAAAAAAGGCATGCCTTTCCTGGCTCTTTACTCTGAGACTCCAGTCCACAGCGAAACAATGCTACAGTATAAGCCTCCTAAGCCAACAGAACGCTTTCATAAAAACCTGCAGTGAAACAGGAAACACTAAGGGGAGTATGGTTCAAATGATACTTACACAAAGTATATGCTCTAAAGTGCTAAAGAATAAATTAGTTTCAAAAATTAATAAACAGCATTTTTATACAACAATAATGAACTACCAGAAAGGGAAACTAAGGAATCAATCCCATTTACAATTGTATTTAAAAAAAAAAATCTAGGAATAAATTTAACCAAGGATGTAAAAGACCGGAGTCAGAAAATTATAAGGCACTATAGAAAGAAACTGAGAAAGATACAAATGAGTGGAAGCATATACTATGTTCAGAGATAGGAAGAATTAACATCATTAAAATGTCCAGACTACCAAAAGCAATCTATAGATTCAACGCAATTCCTATCAAGATACCAATGGCATATTTCACAGAACTGGAACAAATATTCCAAAAATTTATATAGAACCACAAAAGACTCTGAATAACCACAGAAATCTTGAGAAAGAACAAAGTTGGAGAGATCACGCTACCTAACATCAAACCATACTACTGGCATAAAAACAGACATATAGATCAATGGAAAAGAATCGAGAGCCCAGAAATAAACCCATGCCTTTATGGCAATATTTGACAAAGGAGCCAAGAACATACAATGGGATAAAGATAGTCTATTCAATAAATGGTGCTGGGAAAATTGGATACATGAAAAAAAATGAAACTAGATCACCTTCTTAAACCATACACAAGAATAAACTAAAAATGGATTCAAGACTTAAATGTTAGACCTGGTTGGGTGGCTCTGTTGGTTGGGGCGTCATCCTGTACACCAAAAGGTGGTGGGTTCGATTCCTGGTGAGGGCACATACCTACGTTGTGGTTTCGATCCCATCAGGGCGCGTATGGAGGCAACTGATCAATGTTTCTCTCTCTCTCTCTCTCTTCCCCGCTTCCTCTCTCTAACCGTATCCTCAGGGGAGGATTTAAGAAAAAAAGACTTAAATGTTAGACTTGAAACCATAAAAATCCTAGAAGAAAACAGGCAATAAAATCTGACATTTCTCATAGCAATATATTTTTCTGATATATCTCCTCAGGCAAGGGAAGCAAAAGATAAACAAATGGGACATCAAATTTAAGGTTTTGCACAGCAAAGGAAACCATCAACAAAATGAAAAGACAACCACTGAATGGGAGAACATATCCGCCAATGATACATCTGATAAGAGGTTAATATCCAAACTTTATAAAGAACTTAGAAAACTCAACACCAAAAAACCCCCAAATAATCCAATTTTTAAAATGAGCAAAGGACCTGAATAGACTTCTCCAAAGAGGATATACAGAATAGACATATAAAAATATGCTCAACATCACTAATCATCAGAGAAATGCAAATTAAAGCCACAATGAGATATCACCACACACCTGTCAGAATGGCTACCATCAATAAATCAATAAACAACAAGTGTTGGCAAGGATGTAAAGAAAAGTGAACCCTAGTACACTGTTGGTGAGAGTGCAGATGGTGCAGCCACTGTGGAAAGCAGCATGGAATTACCTCAAAAAATTCAAAATGGAACCACCTTATGACCCAGGGATTCCACTTCTGGGAATATATCTGAAGAAACTCAAAACACTAATTTGAAAGAATATATGCACCCCTCTGTCCATTGCAGTGTTATTACAATAGTCAAGATCTGGAAGCAGCTCAAGTGTCCAACAATAGATGAGTGGATAAAAAAGCTATGGTATATTTACACAATGGAATACTACTCAGCCATAAAAAAGGAGGAAATCTTACCCTTTGCAACAGCATGGGTGGACCTAGAGAGCATTATGTTAAGTGAAATAAGCCAGTGAGAGAAAGACAAGTGCCATATGATTTCACTCATATGTGGTACCTAATGAACAGAATAAACTAACAAAATAGAAACAAGACTCATAAATAGAGAACAGACTGACAGCTGTCAGTGGGGAGGGAGGTTTTGGGGCTGGGTGAAAACAGTGAAGGGGTTAACCCCCCCAAAAAAAAACCTCACAGACATAGACAACAGAGAGAAAGAGGGGTGGGGGGAGGTAGAAGAGGAAATAAGGGGGATAAATGGTGACAGAAAAAGACGTGACTTGGGGTGAACACAACAATACAATATACAGATGATGTATTATAGAATTGTATGTCTGAAACCTATATAATTTTATTAACCAATGTCACCCAAATAAATTCAATAAAAAGTAAGTAAATAAGTAAAAATAAAAGAGGGAAAACAGGGACGATTATTATCATAAGTAGATTAGATATTAGATTTTCTAACACTCGGGCTCTTGGCCATGCATTCATTTATGTGTTTTTGGAGCATGTACTGTGTGAGTTGTGGACAGTGTGCTAATGGGGACAGGTCTCTGAGGAAGACAGCTTAATAAGTAGGCAGTGGGAGTGATGGGAGGAGACTAGAAAGGGCCCTTTAGGTTACCAGAAGCCTGGCAAGCAGCCCAGAGTGAGAAGCAGCCAAGGACCTCTGGGATTGTTGGAACAGCTGTCAATAAGGAAACTCCTAATGATGGGTTCCTTTAAAGGGTGCTTTTACTCTTCTGTTTATTCTAAACAATTGTTATTACTTAGAAGTGCCTACTATGAGCTCTTAGTCTCTGTGCTAAATAAATGTTTTACATCCATTATTTTGACAATCTTGAACTTTATCTGAGCAACACCAGCTGAGAAATTTCCCCCCTCTTCTGTCTTCTGGGAAAGGGCTAAGTGTAAAGGTTCACCTGCCCTCTCAAATGCCAAGGTAGGACCCATCTCCATCTTTCCTCATGACCTCCATAAAACTTGATGACACCCTTGTTTACTCAGACCCCCTTCCTTTTGATAAAATCAACCTTTTCCCTTCTACAATAACCTAAATAAAATCAGCTCAAAAAAAAAAAAAAGAAAAATTAATAAACATGCCAACAGAATCTGTGGGAAAACATATCCTTTTCTTAAGAAAACAGAACCCCTATAAAATTATAGCACATTACAGCACATTAAAAGGTATCACTTAAGTAATTTATAGTCAAGGTACTAAATCATTACAGTAATTAATATTTAAGGTTCTAAATCATTAACACTCCTTTAACTCAACAACTTCAGTTTATTATTGAAAGACTAGTCCATCAAATGTATCATATATAAAGTATGAGATGAACTCTTTTTCCCTCTATTACTCTACATTTTAAAACTAGAAATGCTCCCCTAGAATATGGAGCACTTCTTCAAACAGACAACCATATTTACTGAAGAGTCACTATTCTTACCTTCAAAGGCTTTATCTGATCCAAACCCATATAGGAGTCTGATCTCAAAAACACTGTATACTGGTAATTTCCAGGCTTGCCTGGCGCAGGAAACTTCAATTCTACCTAGAAGATAAAATCAGCATTTAGAACCTGTGTCTTATGGAGTGGAAAAAAACACCACCTCACTCCTAAAATTCCTTCACCAGAGTAATACCTAGTTGTTTACTCAAATGACACAGGACATCCTAATAAATGTTACAAAAGTTCTAACAACAACAAATAGTATATGACATTTATGTCGTACGTTACATATACTATACAAAGGAATTAAAACTAGGCAGAATTGACAGGATTAATGTGTGTCTCCACAATTTAAGAAAGCATATTTTAAGCAACAACTTGAAGAAATGAAGTAGGGTATAAAAGTAAAATAAATTAAATGCTCAAATTAATAAAATACACTTCACCAGAAAGGTAATAATTCTTGCCAAATTTTCTTATAAGATAAATGCTTGAGATAACAGAGAAAAATATATATATATACACACATATGTACATATATAGTCTCTGCTCCTGGTTCATGGCACAGAGCTCCTCGAACCCCTGTAACTTCCTAAGTGATAAGCGCACTAGGAGCATCTTGTTCTAATATTTGCTCTTTGACCCTGGTTCGTAAATCCTTTGGAATTTCCTGGGTGATAGGAAAGTTTTGTTTTAATGAGGTGACTCCAGGTGGGCTCCTAGATAAGAACCGGTCACCAGAAAGACCCAGCCTGATTAGAGAAACTTGAAACTTTCAGTCCCACCCAAACTGAGTTAATGATCAATCACATCTACGTGATGAAGCCTCCATAAAAGTTCCAAAGCAAGAGGAACACATGGAGGTGCTGGGAGAGGGGTATGCTCAGATAGAGCATGGGAGCTCCGAGCCCCTTCCCACATACCTTGCCCTGTGTATCTCTTGCATATGGATGTTCATTTATATTCTTTATCAAATTCTTTTACAATAAACTGGTATATGTGTTTCCCTGAGTTCTGTGAGCCATTCTAGCAAATTATTAAACCCAAGGAGGGGGTCATGGGACCCTAATTTTTAGCCATTTGGTCAGAAATACAATTAACAACCTGAGGTTTGTGATTGGCGCCTGAAGTGAGGGAGTGGGGGATGGCAGTTTTGTGGGACTGAGCTTAACCTGTGAGATTTGACACTATCCAGGTAGAGATTGTCAGCATTTAGTTAAACTGTAGGAGACTCAGAGGTATGACAGAGAATTGCTTGGTGTGGGGGATGAAAACCAACACATCTGTGAGGTTGCTAGTAATGTGATTAAGTAAAGGATAAACACAGGAGAAGTTGTGTTTTTCCTTTACAAATGCCCAATGCCTTAAAAGGTAAAGAAGATACTTTATTTCCTACCAAATCATAAACTTTAAATACAGAGTTACAAAGTCTTAGAAGTTTCAATTCTACTTGGACAAAGGAAGAATAAATGTTTAAGATGACATTCAGAATTTCTGGTGATATGCCTCCAATCTCCAAAATTCAGATTTTGTAGGCAAGATTATATATTAAAATATGCCATTAAGCCCTGGTTGGGTAGTTCAGTTGGTTAGAGCATAGTGCTGATACATCAAGGTTGAGGGTTCTATCCCCAGTCAGGGCACACGCAAGAAATGAATGCATAAATAAGTGGAACAACAAATCAATGTTTCTCTCTCTTGCTAAAAATCAATTTAAAAATTATTTTTAAAAATTCTTAAAATATGCCATTAAAACAAGCTAGAAAAAAATCATGGGAGAATCTTTTCTTTAAAAATTGATCTCACAGTTTGGCCTTTCTAACTATAACACAAAACCTAAAAATCATAAAAGAAAAATTAATCACATTATTAAAAAACTCCAAATAGCCCGGCCGGGCGTGGCTCAGCGGTTGAGCATCAACTTGGGATCCAGGCGGTTGGGGTTCGATTCCCGGTCAGGGCACATGCCCGGGTTGCGGGCTAGATCAATGACTCTCTCATCATTGATGTTTCTATCTCTCTCTCCCTCTCCTTTCCTCTCTCTGAAATCAATAAAGATATATTTTTTAAAAAATAAAATAAAATAAATAAAAACTCCAAATAAATAAATGGATAAATATTTATATTTTTGCTTGTAAAAACCAAACAACCTTAACAGTAAAACATATGGGGGAGAAATATTTGCAATACATATAACAGAGGGCTGATTTCATAATATTAAAAAAAAACACAATTAAAAGACAAATAACCCAGTAAAAATGAATAATGGTTACACACAGATACAAAAAGAAATACAATTTAAAAAAACACAGTGAATTTCAATCTTCAGTTTCACTCTTAAGAGAAATCCAAGTTAAAACTACACTGAATACAACTAGCATAGTAAAAACTGATGCAGGCAGGAATCACCAATGTATGCTAAAGTGAGTAAGAGACTGTGGAAGATCAGGAGAGTCACATAGTGCCCAAGTATCACCCCACAGATTAGAAGAAAAAAAACAAAAAACAGCTTTTACAAGAGGGAAAAGCTTTAACTAAATGATCAACCGTAATATCAGGAACGTGGGGTGAACTGATATACTGTGTCCCTAAAGTGATGCACTAAGGTTACAGCACCTGAGTAATATTTTTGCCAAAAATATTTAAGCTGAATATAATCATGAGTAACCAATGAGAAAAATTCAAATTAAGGAATATTCTATAAAATACCTTGCCCAGACTCTTCAAAAATGGCATGAAAAATTAAAAAAGGCAAAGGCCAAGGAAGAGTTCTAAAGAGTGGCAACCAAATGCAATGTCTGATTCCTGACTGGATCCTGAATTTAAAGACAAAACAAAACAAAAACTGTAACAGATATTAGTGAAATATTTGAGAAAATTTGAAAACACACTGCATATTAGACAAATACCACCATATCAATGTTAAATTTCCTGAATATAATAATGTTACTGTGCTTATGTAGGAGAAGGCCCTTGATATTAGGAGATACATGTTCCAGTACTGAGGGGTATAATATCATGAGGTCTGCAAGTACCTAAAGTGGGTCAGAAGGGAGAAATACACACACACCTGTATTTTCTGTGAGTAAACATACAGAGAAAGATATAAAATGTGGAAAAATGTTATCAATTAGTCAATGTACATAAAGATTCTATGAGGTTCATAACACTCTGCTTACAACATTTTTATAGATTTAATGTTTTCAAAATAAAAAATCAGAAAGAAAAAAATAACAGAGAGGCCATTTTTTACCATTCTGATAAGCAATGACATTCAAAATGCCTGGCACACTGAGAGGCAATGGGCATACTTAAACATTCATTCTCCCTACAGGGAAATAAATACCTAGGAATATCTATCAAAATTAGGAATGTACAGAGCCTCTGGTTCATTCATTGTACCTCTATGAACTCATCCCATAGAAATGTTTGCACAAGGACAAAAGGACATATAGGTTATTTATTGTGGGAAAAGACAAGAAACTGATAAATAACAAAGTGCTAAATTAATAAATAAAAATCCACACAAAAAGAGTATCATGCAGCTTTAAAAATGATTGAGGAAGATTTTTTTGTACTAACGTGGAACAAATTCCATGTTATATCACTAAGAGAAAAAAAGGTAAGGTGCACAATATGGTGTACGCTACTTTTGTGTAAAACTGGGAAAAATACACATATGTATTTGCTTATAATTTACATACAATGTCACATGAAGAATAAAAATTTGGTAACAATGATGGTCTCCAGGAAGGAAAACCAGTGAGAGACAGAGCTGCAAGATGTTTCACTGTGTACACTTTTGTATATCTTCTGAAATACTAACTAGGTGAATGTATTATATATTCAAAAATAGGTGAAATTGCCCTAGCCAGTTTGGCTCAGTGGTTAGTGTCAGCCTTCAGACTGAAGGGTCTTGGCTTGATTCCCAGCCCTAGTTGGGGCACATGTGGGAGGCAATCAATCGATGTGTCTCTCACATCAATGTTTCTCTCTCTCTCCCTTCCACTCTTGCTGAAAAGCAATGGAAAAAATATCCTCAGGTGAGGATTCTTTTTTAAAAATAAGAAAGTAAAATTTATATTTTAAAAAATTGCTTAGTCAAAGAAGTACCCTTAAGTTAGTTCTACCTCTAAGTGTCAAATAATCAAACTACATCATACATTTATATTGGCTACAAAGGGGGGAAAACTCTCTGGATTAAAAATTAGTATCATAAAACTATCTCAAAATTCAAAAGCCTTGTTCTTGTCCAACTCCAAGCAGACAGAACCTTCTTCCTAGAAAAGTAACATAAAAAAATCAAGAAAAACAAAAAATAGAAAAGACTTCCCAAGGGGTAAAATATGTTCATCACAATGCTACAGTAAATAGTGATGTCATTTACAGTGGACAACGCCACATAATAAAAATTCCATGCTAAAAATCTAATCAACCATTCTTACATTTGTTTTTAAGGAGAAAAAGGATATATCTTAGCACTAATTCAATGAGAATAAAAATCATACATTTTTGTACGATATAATTAAATTCTAGAGAAGGAAAGGCATATGTTCTTAGACACTAACAGTGAAAACGTCCAAAAATAAGTTGAGAACAAGTTTTTAAAAGACTGACCAAGTTGCCTACCTTTAGCAATTCAAACTTTATAAATTTCAAATGAGCTTTCCCCAAGACACATCAGAAAACAGTTATAGCCTGGCAGTTGAGCATCAACCTAGGATCCAGGAGATCACGGTTCGATTCCCAGTCAGGGCACATGCCCGGGTTGCAGGCTTGATCCCCAGTTGGGGCGTGCAGGAGGCGGCCAATCAATGACAATTCTCTCATCATTGATGTTTCTATCTCTCTCTCTCCCCCGCTCTCTGAAATCAATGAAGATATATTTTTAAAAAAAAAAAGTTATAAATGTCTTAAAATGCAATAAACCAAATATGATCAACTATTTTCTAAAAAAGATTTTATGAAGCAGCATGATGACAAGATGCTATACATTTGTGAAAATTGAAATACTGTTGTTGGATAATTACCTCTTCTGTATCTTTTAGTGTACACACATGATATGGCATAGATATTAATGTCTGCTCTTTCCTATCTGCGATATAAAGCCACCACCATTCTTGTTTTTCCTGCAAAGGAAAAAGAAAGTACAAAAAATCACAAAGAACTAGAGAAACAGAGTTTTCCTTGTTTCACTTGAGAGATATTGTCCTTGTTTTATTCTTTGCTGTAATGTACAAAATAGATATATAATAAATATTTACTGAACAAATTTTTCTTATCCATTTGTAGATCTGGTCTCCAAAAGAATTTTGTATTTAAGTTTGAGGTTTCAAATGGCCCTTTAGGCCCTACTGATGGGATTCTGTATTAAAAACTCCTGATTAATTTTTAAAAAACTTAAAAAGCAAAAGATATGCTAAAAAAAAGAACAGTATAAACTATTACAATGTCATCTAGCAGATAATCTTAGTACTTTGAGCTAGTAATAAGCAAAAGTCAGAAGTAAGTAGGAGTGGAAGAGACTTGGGCAACCAAATGAGAAATCAATAAATTAAAAATACATTACTCATAAAAGACCATCTTGAAATCTAGGAGCCTATTTTATACCTTTCACTGCACATGATTTTAATATTAATAAGTTGAGCACTTTTAGTTGTACTTCAAAAAGGTTAGGAACAGAAAAGGAGCTGAGTAAAAAAGAAAACCTGCCACCAGAACTGCACAGCAGAGACAGCAGAGAAAACTGACAGACAGAAAACAAACAAAAAAAATTAGGAGACGAGCAGCTGTCTGGACGCATCAAACTCCAGTCTGCTCGGTGACCATCACTATATTACAGCACATCAGTAATTGTTTAGTCATCTGCTTAGGAAAGATAGCTTTCTAAAATGGCTTAAAAAATGTTTTGGAGCCAAGAAGATAATAAACTCAAGGATATTCTAAATACTCAACCAAAACAACACCAGACTATTCTAAATTCTCAATTATCCAAAAGAAGGTTTAAAAAAAGTACATTTTACTTAAGTTTTGTAGGGAAAATGTTTGTGTTTTTAAGCCAGAATCACTTTCTTTCTATTTTATTTTAACCGTAAGACATTAAAACTTGGTTTATTATCTCTCCAATAATGCTACACTAAATTCAACTAAAAGCTCTTTTGTTTAAATGACTTAAACAACAAAGCAATGCAACATTAATAAGCAGAATAAATAAATCACAAATGCACGATTAAGCCAACTTCAGCTTCACCCAAGGGTTAGGACCACAACAGGTATATGTGTACATATGTAAGTTTCTCTGTGTGTTTTACACACACAAAGTAGATAAAAACATAATAGACTCAAAGTGGAGTATTAATACCTGGGCTCTGTGTGTCACAGAGTCTGTTGCAACTACTCAACTCTGCCATCATAGTGTGACAAGAATGAGTGTGGCTGTGTTCCAATAAAACATTTACAATAAAACTTTATTCACAAGAACGGGCAGAGAAGCAGATTTGTCTGCAGGCTGCAGTTTGCCAATGATGTTTTAAAGCCACACAGACATGGATTATTTCCTTCTCTAACCATCGCTTTTCTTCTCTGTTAAATGATAAGTGCCTACCTCAGGCTGTATAATAAAGGTGAACTGAGATAATACAAGTAAAATATGTTAGAATGTCTAGCAAATAGACTGCAATAAATAAGTTATGATTATAAATGAAATGAGGTAAAGGCCTCTACTATTTAAGTAGTTCTGACATTTCATCGTCAGAAGTATCACCAACAGAACATGCATGTAACACAAGAAGCACAGGGATATGTTCAGAATGTGCATTTCTTCTTTATCTCTCACTTGGAGAATGCCTCTCCCTTTCCTTTCCCAGGCTACTTGATTAAAATGAGATACATAAGTATTCATTCCAGAATATTTATTAAGAAGCACGTGAATATCAATCTATGGCATGGCACCTGTGCCTAGACTCTAATGCACATGGTGAAAGTGGAAAAGATGCTCTACCATGAGTTATTTGCACTTTAAACAAAATTGTTTCTCTGTTGTGTGTGATTCCCAAAAATTCTTAACATATTAAATATAATAAATGAGTTTCGATAACATGTAAGTCAATTATTTGCATAAATCTTTAAGTGGGTAGTGTGGTAGTTAGGGTAGCTGGTAGGTACATGGGAAGGTAGACAGGTAGATGGTAGGAAAGTCCTAAATAAATTTTATCTGATAAATGGTACTTTGAGATGCTTAACATGCAAATACAGATTAAGTCAGAAAAAGGTATTTTTACTGCTGCAATGTCGTAAGAAAGTAAATGACTATTTTGCCTATTAACTAAGCATGATCTAAAATGAAACTGTTACAAGGATAAAAATTATGCAGCTTATAGAATCCCATGGCACTTTTAAAAACCAATCACTGAGTGGAATTTATTCACTTGATTTCGGGAGCCTTGTGGTTGGCAGACTACCAGTACAATGGGCAAATTGCCCCTAACAGATGGGCTAATGCTCAGGACATGCCAGAAGATCGGCGTGAGCATTAAGATGAAATCCTGAGTTGATGTCTCTCCAAGTCACAACAAAAGTGTGTGCAGAGCCACTCATTTATTAGTAGGAAAGCCAAATTACTTAGGAATTAGCTTTCAGCAGCCCCCAGCAACTCTGGATTGACATTCTAGAGCAGAAAGCAGATTTAGACATGAAATCACCTGCCAAACATGAGTGGTAAACAGAAGGTTCTGTGGCAAAGCTGTAAGGCAGTCTGTGGAAGAGCTTCCCTGAACGGAGGCAACCGGTTCTTGACCTCTAGCCATAGACAGAATCATCCACAAAAGTAAAATGTCAAGCAAATCCCAAATTCATTTGAAAGACAAATACAGCCTATCAAAGAGATCAAAAGTGAGTAGACCACAAACACAAAGTAAACAAGGACAAGGGAACAAATAGCACTGCAGTGACCTGTCCTGAGCTAGGAACTCAGCTATGCTCACCTCTTACTGAACTTAGGCTGGCCCCACAGCTGCCATAGACTGGGGCAATTACTGGGACCAGAGAGAGTTTAGTGGCTCCAGGTGGCCTCAGAGAAAGCCCATGGAAAAAATTTAAGAACTTTCTAACCTATTTAAAACTTGACAGAAGTGAAAGATTCACAATAGCCACATAGTCAGAGACAAAATACGTATTTGTATGATTAGCTGCCTGAACTGCTAGCAAGAAATCCTCATAAAGCACAACCCTTAGTAATCTAGGCAGACAAAAGATACAGCACAGAAAGCCACAAAAATTCTTAAAAAGTTAATCCTCTTTTTCCATACATAATTCATATTTAAATCTATCCTTCAGAAATGTGGCCTATCAAGAACAGATCACATTTAGCACATGTGAGCCAGTACCCACCACAAAGAGATAAATGGCGATTGAGAAATATCTGAAGAGAAAGTGAATGGAGTAAGAAAAACACTAGGCCATGTATAACTCACCTCGGGAAAGTAAAGACTATAAACAGGATGTGTTATCTTTGATTTGGTTTCCAGCAAAGCTCTCTCCTTTCTCTGTATACTTTGTTGTAATTCTTGCCACTCCTAGTAAAATAAAAATTGAATATTTGAAATCAAGTATGTTTTCAACCATTGTGAGGAGTTTCCATCTTCTGCTAGCTATTATTCCTAATAATGCTAAGTTAAGTCCCACAAATCTGATCATTTCCCTGCTCAAAACTTACACTTCTTTCCATGAATCAAATCTTACCTGTGACATTGAACTTTTGAGAGACTCTTCCAAGTAAACTGCTACCTAGTTCACTACCCACTTTTCTTTCCTCACACTTCCAGAATCATCTCCAGCACTGAAAAGTGCTTAAGAGACCAAACTGACCCCACCTCAGACCTAGGTCTTAATCTACTTAGCAATTTAAGCTTTAAGAAAATTAGGATTTCCAATCCTTGTTAGAAACTATTTTTCTTTGTAATTCTGACCACTATTCCTCAAAAATAATCTTACAAAGCAATATAGGGTTATAAAATATACTAGAAGCAAACTGACAAGCAAAGCAGCAAGCAAGCAAGCGAACAAGACCAAGCACAAAACCATCGCCAGAGGCCCCGGCCCCTCTCAGACCCCAGCCTTACTGCCTCGTCATCTTTGCTCTGCTTCTCATCGTGCTCCCTGTCGGAGTCCCTGTCGCTGCCGTCCTCTCTCTCACTCTGCGAGTCTCTATTGGTTTCTTCTTCTTCAGAGTCACTGCCTTTATCAGACACCTCTTCTTCCTCTTCCTTCACTGCAGCTTCCTAAAAGGGAAAAGCAACCACGAAAGCTCTAAGTATGTATCTCAATGGCTGTACCACTCTGAGTCCCTGAAGCTCACTTATTCAAACTAGCTCAAATCACAGTTTCGCTACTTACACAGAATTTTAGAGAATTACAAACATTCTTAAACATGTTGAAGTATGCAGTAGTCAGACTGAAGGCTTTAACATTCGGCTTATCTATTCATTTATTCGTTCTTCATAGTTTGTAAAATAAAACTATTTTATTCCTATTTGCAAAGTATACTACCACAACGGCTAAGATGGCTCATACTTCAAAAACATATATCATGCAATACATTTTATTTGAGGAGAGGAAATTGGAAGTTTATAGAAAAGTACTAAAAACTTTGGGGAGTTTAATATTATCTTCTATAATTGATAAAGTACAATGCAGTAAGGAAAGCCAATATTCCAAACAAAATACTTATTAATCTATTTCAAGGAGAAAAAAGAACAGCAAATTAAATGCAAAGAAAGTAGAAATAAAACAGACCAGAAATTAAAAAGAAAGCAGATATATAAAAGAGAAATCCAAACAAACCTAAAAGTTGGTTCTTTGAAAAGATTAATAAAATTGGTAAGTGTTATTAGGCAAGACTAACTGACTAGAGGGAAAAAAGATACAGAATACAAATTACCAACATTAGGAATAAAAGAGACATAACTATAGGTCAAAAAAAACATTAAAAATAAAGGATATTATCAATAGCTTTATGTCAATCTAGTTGATAACTCAAGAAGAAATGGACAAATTCCTTGAAAAAAACAATTATGAAAAATGATATAAGAAAAAAGGTAGAATATGTTGAGGATAAGAACTCTACAACTAAACCCTTTTTAAAACCTCTAAGCCCAGATGACTTCTCTAGATAATTCTTCCAAATAAGAAACAAATCCAATCTCACAGCATAAACCCAATACAAAACATGTCAAGTATATTACAAGAAAGGAGAATGACAAACCAATATTCTCTCATAAAAACAGATTTAGGAATCCTAAACAAGTATTATCAAATCCAGATAAATATAAAAAAGGATACTACATTATGACAAATGAGATTTGTTCCAGTAATGCAATGATTGTTTAAAATTTTTTAACACATCAATATAATTCACCACATTAACAGAAAAGAGAAAAATCATAGAATCGTCTCATTAGATGAAGAAAAAGCATTTAATAAAATTCAGTACCTGTTCATAGGAATTCTCAGCATGGGAATAGAGGGGAACACTTCCTTAAACTGATAAAGAATATCTACAAAAACCCTAGAGCTAACATCATACTTAATAGTAAAATGACGTTTGCTCCTCCCTGAGATCAATAAGATAGGTAACTACCATCTTCAATTCTAATTAACATTACACTGAAAGTATAGCCAATATATTAAGAGAGAAAGGAAAAAGAGCATAAAGATTTAAAAAAAAAAAAAGCTAAACTGTCTTTATTCCCAGATGGCATAATTGTGTATGTAGAAAATCTTTTTTAAAATATCTACAAATGATTAGAATTATTGTGAATTCACCAAGACTCCTTGATACAAGATCAATATTTAGAAAGCAACTGTATTTCTATACATCAGCAACTGACATTACAGAATGATTTTCTTTTAATGTTATTTGAAGCACGAGCACCAAAAAGCATCTGATACATAGGAGTAAATCTAATGCAAGATGTGCCATAGCTCTGCCACTGGAAATTACCACAAACTCATGAGAAAAAGTTAGGGAAGAACCAAATTAATAAAGATAAACCATGATTATGAATAAAAAGATTCAGTATTGTTAACATGTGAAGTCTCCCCATATTGAACCATAGATTCAATGCAATACCAGTCTAAATCCGAGCAGCTTTTTTTGGCAAAAATTGTCAAGCTTATTCTAAAAATTTAGCTGGAAATGCAAAGGACCTACATAGTCAAGAACATTTTGAAGAAATGAAGTAAGAGTCTGAGGATTTATACTACCATATTTCAAGACTTAGCATAAAGCCACCATAATTAAGACAGTGTGGTGTTGTCACAAGAATAGACAACCAATGCAATGAGTAGAGTTCATAAACAGATCTGCACATACAGTTATAATCACTTGTTTTTCAACAAATGACCATTGCAATTCAGACAGGAAACGATCATCTTTTCAACAAATGGTGCTAGAATAACTGGTCCATAATCCCTCTCTCACAATACTCACCAAAATTAATCCAAGATGTATCATAGTGCTAAATATAACAAAAGACTACTACTTAAATGAAAACAGAAAAATGTCTCTATGTCCTTAGGATAGGCAGAGATGTCTTAAAAAGGACAAAAGAAGTAACCATAACAGAATGATGAAATAGACTTCATTAAAATTAAGAAACACTTGCCCGGCTGGGCATGGCTCAGCAGTTGAGCATCGACCTACGATCCAGGAAATCGCGGTTCAATTCCAGGTCGGGGAACATGCCAGGGTCTGCGGGCTCAGTCCCTGGTCAGGGGCGTGCAGGAGGCAGCCGATCAATGATGACTCGCTCATCATTGGTGTGTCTATCTCTCTCTCTCTCCCTCTCCCTTCCTCTCTCTGAAATCAATAAAGATATATTTTAAAAAATAATAAAAATTAAAATTTTTTTAAAAATTAAGAAATACCAAAAGCCACCATGAAGACTCATAAGGACTCATATCCACCAAAAAGGACTCATATCCAGAACCTAGAAAGGAATAATACCACTCAAGTCCATAAAACCACCCACAGGAAAAGAGGACAGCCAAATGACCAGTAAGCTATGAACAGGTGCTTATTACCATTAATCAGGCAAATACAAATAAAAACCACACACACAGATACAGCAACAGATCTACCACAGTGGCTAAAACTTAAAAAGGCTGGTAAAACCAATACTGGTGAGGATGTGGAACAAGTGGACTCATAACTGCTGGCAGGAGCAAAAAGTGGTACAACTTTGGAAAACGGGCTCTTTCAACGGGTTAAACATACACTCATTTTATGACCCAGTAAGCCCCCTGCTAGGTACATACCCAAGAAAAATGTCCACAAAATGAAATGTGCAAGAATAAGCATACCACCTTTATTCACAACTGGCAAAAACTAGAAACACACACACACACACACAAGAATGAACTGCTGCTACACACAATACAAATGAGTATCATAAACATGATGCTTAATCTAGCAGCCAAACATAATTCCACTTACCTGAAGCTTAAGAACAGGCAACACTAATCTATGGTAATAACAGAACTGGGGGAGGGTAAGGAGGTAGATGGTCAACTGACTGAAAATGGGCACGAGGGAGCTTTCAAGAGTGCTGGTAAGGTTTTATATCTTGGTATGGGTATCATGAGTACATTCATGTGTAAAACTTCAGGAGTTGTACACATAAGATTTGAACATTTTAGTGTGTGTTATACCTCAATAAAGATAATCATATAATAACAGTAATAAACTTACACTCCCAATGACTCCATTTGCTTGCTTTTGTTTCTGTTGCTTTGATTGTGATAAGGGCACAGGTGTAGGCTTTTTTTTAATAGTTTTCTTTTTTTTTGATTTAGTGGTTTTCTTAGGTCCTTTACTCTTCTGTTGCCATCCTCCTTTTGTCCTGTTCTTGTTAGTGTCCCCTTGCTGTAAATCACAACATACATTCACACTCAGAAATTATAGCAATAGTTTCATTTGTGAGTCATAGTAATTTTGTTGTTTTTGTTATTAATCCTCACCTGAGGACATTTTTTTCCACTGCTTTTCAGACAGAGTGGAAGGGAGGGAGGGAGGAAGGGGAAGATGGAGGGGGAGTGAGAGAAAGAGAGAGAGAGAAGCATCGATGTGAGAGAAACACATCGACTGGGTGCCTCTAGCACATGCCCTGACCAGGGGTGGGGAACAAACCACAACCCAGGTATGTGCCCTTGACAGGGAACTGAACCCTCGAACCCTCCGGTGCGAGGGCTGATGCTAACTACTGAGCCACACCGGCCAGGGTAGTCATTGCAATTTTTAGATGGGAATGGCTAAACTAAATGTTTTCATAAACTGAATGATTCTCCCGCAGAAATGTAAATAAGTCAGAAAATGAAGCAAAACATTTCTATCACCAGGAAAGGTAGGTGAGAAAACTCAGAGTTTTACCATATCTTCTGTGGGCTGTTCCTCTGCAGCACAGATAGACTGCTCCTTTTCAAATACTTCCTAGAGGGAGCAAGAAGAAAAATATAAAGTCTGTCAAGCTGTATTCATTCATCTTTCAGATAAGCAAAACAATCTTTCAAAATATATTACCAGTAAGTTTTAAAATTGGTGACAATGGGTAAGAAGACAGGAGACTTAGCAATCACTAAATGATAAATGTGTGCCAATTTAGCAATTACTAAATGACACTTCAGACATTGCCTTCTGAAATATCTCACATCTGCCTTGAATATTTTTTAAAAGTACACTCCACTGAAATTTATAAATGCAATGACTTAAGATATGTAAACTCATTATAAACTCAAAAATATTTTAGTTTAAATTTTCGCTTTTATTCTAATAGTAATCAGACATGATTATTTTAATATGAAAATCTGAATGTATTACACTATTTTCTAACATGAAAACTTCATAGTTTATTCACTGTCAGTGATACTGCTTATTGGACCTATAACTAAGAAGTGGAACACCAAGAAAATCCACATACCCTAAAGTCATCCATCCACCATACAATCCATTTAGAATCAGTATATTTAGCATTTAAATTCCAGTATGAATCTACATGAGAAGATGACAACAAGTGATGTGGATTGTTTAATAAACTCCTTGGAATTAGTAAAGCTAACAAGTAAAAACAATGACAACTGTTAGGCTCTAAACTGTTAGCCTAATTTAAGGGTCAGCAAACTATGTTCAACTGCCTGCTTTTTAAACAGTTTTATTGGAACACAATCATGCCCATTTATGAGTTCAGTAGTTGCTACAGAGACTACATGGCCTATAACACCAAAAATATTTACTAACTGGACAGAAAGATTTGCCTAATTCTATCATCTCTGCTTCATTTCTTCACTTATTACTGGGTTCTAACTGAAGTACAGTTCACAAAAGAACTGAACAAGAAATACTTGATTCTTTCCCTTCCTCCAGAGCAGTTTTGGTTTTTTTTCTTCTGTCAATTACTCCAGGTATCAACAGCCCATTTCATTGTTCATTTTTCAGGCTGGAAATTCCAAAGCATGTTGGTAGTATAAGTTTGGATTCTAAACCCAATCCTGACCACTGGCTTATAGTTTCCTCTTCTCCCAGGAAGCACCTCTCATCCACAGTCTATGACACAAATGCTTGCCTGCCACTTGCTACCATAAAATTAACTTTTTTTTATTTGATATATCCTACAGCAAAAGATGCTTTTCCTACCAGAGGCTTTAGACATAGGGTTTAAATGCAGCATATGTTTCCTGCAGATGCTCACAGACCCAGAGCAGAACAGCTAAAATCCACCTCTAGTTGAATAAACTGAGTTGAAATTACTATAGACTATTAAAAATAAGTTACAACTAGAGTTGTAACTTGGAAAGTAATATAAACATAATAGAAACTGTGAAAAACAAGATGCAGGAAACATATACAATATGATCAGATTTAAAAAAGAATGAGAAAAATACCAGTATAGATGTCTATGCATATACATATACACTGTCAAGGTCCAAATAGTAAACACAACCAATGGAGAAACATAAGACAGGATATACACAAGACTGAATTCTGGTCAATGGGCACTGACAAGGGGTTTCCTGAGGGAGGTAAGTAAGAGAAGGGATCCATGATAAAAACATCATTTAACTCTGGATAGTCATGCATTAGGATATCTAAAGAGGTGAGCTTCAAAACTGATAATCTCAGAATGGTAAGATTTTAGAAAATGTTAATTTTTTCCTATACTTTTTTGCATTGCCTGAATTTTTTCTCATATAGTACAAATTTTTCACATTAGAAAAAAGTTATTTTCATTAGAATTTTTTAATTTTTTAAATAAAAAAATAAAAGGGAGTAAATTCTCTAAAGAATCACTAAAAAGGAGTAGTGATGAAATTCTCAACAATAATCAATAATAAACTCTGTATAGCACTTTAAAATTTAAGAACTATACCCACATTACCCTGCTATTATAACGTTTTTTTGTTTGTTTGTTTTTGTTTTGTTTTTTAATATATCTTTATTGATTTCAGAGAGAGGAAAGGAGAGGGAGAGAGAGAGATAGAAACATCAATGATGAGAGAGTCACTGATCGAGCCTGCAACCCGGGCATGTGCCCTGACCGGGAATCAAACCCCGATCGCCTGGATCCCAGGCCGACGCTCAACCGCTGAGCCACGCCCGGTCGGGCTATTATAACGTTTTTTAAGAAATAAAATCTTCACATACAGAATTAATTTATGCCCAGCCGGGCGTGGCTCAGCAGTTGATCACTGACTTAGGATCCAGGGGACTGAGGTTCGATTCCCGGTCAGGGCACATGCCCGGTTGCGGGCTCGATCTCCAGTTGGGGGCGTGCGGGAGGCAGACAATCAATGACTCGCTCATCATAGATGTTTCTATCTCTCTCTCCTCTCCGTTCCTCTCTCTGAAATCAATAAAGATATATTTAAAAAAAAAAAAAAATTTACTTAAAACCCGTTCAATGCTTTTTAAAAAAAGAATTTATTTTCCAAGGTTTTCTTGTGTGAAAACTCATATGAAAAACTGTAAGTTAATTTAAAATTTCAAAAAAGCTAACAGAACTTGCAAAATTAAATTTTGCTACTCAGTAGTTTTGATTTGAGACTATGTAACTTAAAACAAGAAATTAAATAAAAAACCTTAACACACAACTTTTTTTTCTTTTCATTAAATTTATTGGGGTAACACTGGTTAAGTAACACATAACTTAAAGCATAAAAATACAAATAGATTACTTACTGCCATTGTTTGCCGTGTCAATTTAACCAACACTGTAACTAGGGATCCTACTGTGATGTTGTTGCTGTCTTCATCATCCAATACTGTAAGGTAAAAGGAAAAAATTAAGTAAAAAATAAAAATTAAGCTCTACATCAACACAAACAAAACTTAACTTACCCAAATGAATTTGGTGCCTCAGTATTTCAAATGTACTATATTTTAAACTTATTCAATAAAACATAATTTATTGACTGTCTAGTCAGTATAAGGCTCTCCAGTAGATGCCTTCAGCAATGTACTCATTTAAATCCTTAAACTAGCTCTATGAAGGATTATTATTACTTCTACTTTAAAGAAGAAACTGAGATTCAGAAGTAAAGTAAAATGCCTAAGTCACATAATGGCTGAACTGGCACTGCCAAGTTTCAAACCCAGGTTCTTTAAAACTAAATATAATGTGAGGACTATCATACCACAGATTTCTCTCACAGTGATATTAAAAATAGGGTTGTGTCACTGTAGTAAATTGTGCAAACCTTCTATTCACAAGATTTTACCTGTATGGTCAGTGCCTGCCTGTCAGAATAAATTAAAACTAGTATTATAAGCCACATTAAAAGGATTTATTTTTAAGGGAAGAACTTCAAGATATTTTTACTTAAAAATACATTTTTGCAATTAATTTTTTAAAACTATGTTTGCCACATATAGCCTCAAAAGTCTAATAAAATTAATTTGATATTAAAATAAATTAACATTAATAAAATAAATTAATACAACTTACCAAACATTATCTTGCATTCAAATGAAGATATAATTCATTTTTTCCTATAAATTCTATCTATAAGTATTTTCTTCACTATGCATTTCTGTCTACAGGTTTTTCTAAGTTTGCCATGTGTATTTCACACAGATTTAGATGAGCACACTGTTCTGATCTGCATTGACACACCACCAGTTGGGAAAGAATGGGCTCCAACAACCAATAACTGCTATCTCCATTACTGGCTGGAAGGTGCAACAGCATCAAAAAAAGGGTACAATATCTTTTCTTCAACCTGGAAGTCTCCATTACCTCAAATAAAATCTGGGCTACATATTCATCAACACTGCAAAGTTGTATGTGCATGAGCACTGCACATGAATTAACAGCTCTAACAATGTCTACCTGCCATCTGATACTTTAAAGTGAAGGAGAGCCTACTCTATCTATCCTCTAGCAATGTGAGAAAAGGGATCCACCATCTCCAGCACTGGATCAGGAAGATGCCCCTTTCCTGCTTCAGTAATTCTACTCTCCCTCCATTAACTATACATCTCATGTTACACATTTGGATAGCACTGTAAAAACATAATAAATTATCTATACAAAATACTATAGAATGAAACATCATAATGTACTGTAGTGAGGCTGAATAATCTTACCTTATACAACTAATAAAAAATCTCTCCAACATTCATTTTTTTTAAGCAGCATGTACTTTTTACAACCCTTGATTATATCAGAGTATCTCTTCAGCCCTAAACTAGGATTTTGAATAGTTTCTGATTAAATTATCATGGTCCTGAATGAAGCTTTATGTTTTTTGTTTGTTTGTTTTTAAATATATCTTTATTGATTTCAGAGAGAGGGAGGCAGAGAGAGATAGAAACATCAATGATGAGAGTCACTGACCAGCTGCCTCCTGCATGCCCCCAACTGGGAATGGAGCCCGCAACCGGGCATGTGCCCTGACCGGGAATCGCACCACGATCTCCTGGATCCTAGGTTGATGCTCAACCACTGAGCCACGGCCGGCCAAGCAGCTTTATATTTTTAATATGTGAAAACTCATAAACCCACAAAGAAATCCTAACTCCCCATCAAAGTGGCCCCAGTTTTCACTTCATGTATCCTACACACTAGCCAAACTGAACCCAGATTGTAATTTGCCTTCCTCTCTGAAACACCCAATCTTTAGGAGCCATCCATCTCAATTCCAATGAGAATGCAAACTCAGTAAGGCAGAGGCTAGAGGCTCTTACCACTGCTTCCCCAGCATCTTGAAGAAGTATCACTCAGTATTTGTTGAATGAATAAATGCACAATGTCTATCATTCACTTAACACTTAGCCTCTGATTCCTTGTTTTAATCCTATATTTACAGCCTATTTCCCCAACTAGACTTTATAAGCCCTTTAAAGATAGAAACCATTCCTAATACATCTTTGTATTCTTGGTCCCACAACAACTTAGTAAATGTCAAAGTTCAGAACAATGGCACAATGAAGGAATGAAGCAGATAAACCCTAATTCATTATAAGGTATTATTCAGCTATTAAAATGGGAACAAACAGGGCAATTAATGTAGGTTAAAAAAAAAGTCTCTATTTTTCTCACTCCAAGCAAACAAAGATAGAGGTAAGTCAAGAAAAACACAAGAAATGTGACAGAGAATGTGGTAATTTTCAAGGTTTAATTAACATAAATAAGCTGGGTTTAAAAATTAATTTTAGAACTAAGCAGCTATGTTTTTCACACTAACAGATATATTTTAAGTATCTTTCATTACATCTGGAACTCTCTTTCATTCCTATTATGAGGATAATAAAAGTAGGACTCCATTAGTGTTCTCAAAACTATTAAGTATACATCATTTTCCATCACAGTAAATCTGACAGGAAAACTATAGTTCTATAAAGTCTAATTAAAGTTTTTGAAGTGTTTTGAGAATCTTGAGTCAAACAAACAAGAGCCATCCTATCAAAAAGGAAGCAGTGTTCCACAGGGGAACCTCCCACTTACCCTGTGATTTTATGTCCATAGTCACATGTGGAAAACTCCCAAGGACAGCCATAACCTCTTCATATTTTTCATCTTCAAGGAAGTGCAACAGATAGTGACGATCTGTTTCTTTTAAACTCACCAAATCCTGAATAGTCTTAATTTTGTACTGAATTTAAAAAGAAAGAAAATAAATCCTAAAGTCATAAAACGTTTCATAAAGGAAAATTAAGAGCATGTTTACTAAAACAAAATCCAAGAACTTTTAGAAAAATGTTAAAATTATATATATTTCCTAAGGGTGGGGGTGGAGGGGTTAATGGGGGGGGAAATGGGGACATCTGCAATACTTTCAGCAATAAAGATAAATTAAAATAAATATATAAGTTTCAAAACAGGTTACATATATTTCAAAGCAGCAAATAACAACAAATAACTTTATGGCATTTCATGGCCTTTTTCTCCAAGGAAATTTAAATTTAGGATTTTGTTACAAAGTTAATATAGGGTTATTTTTTTTTAATTAGAAAAAAAAAAAAAAAGATATAGAAAAAAAAATCTTCATACAGAATCTTGACCCAAGCAAGAACTATTGTCATTTGATGTGCTCAGTTCGCTGATCTTTATTTTCAATTTTAATGATAAAAACCTTTAAGAGTATGAATTTATCTCCAAGTATAGCTGCACCCTATGGAATATTCTGATTTTTGTTATTATCTAAGTATAACTATCTGCTATTACAGTATCCATCTTGGCTAAATGGATACTTAGGAGAGTGTTCTTTAATTTTCAAGTGTTTGGTGCTAGTTATTAATTTTTACTTTCACAGACATGGATTAGATCATGAGACATGTGAAATGCCTGCTTTTGGATTCTGAAATTTTCAATTATGACTTAAAATGTAATCGAATTTATAAGTGTAACACAATTACTTGAAAAGAGAACTCTGATGCAGATTTCGCAAATACATGTATTAGTTTTACCTTAATATACTATCAGTCTAATGTCTATCTTCTGCCTACTTTGACTAATGCATACACAGTAATGTTTAAAATCTCCTACAAAAATTACAATTTCATTCAGTGTTTTCTTATATTTCCTCAAGTTTTTCATTTATCTTAATACTCATTATCATGTCTTTACTATAAACTGTTTTCTAAATAAGAATTATCTTTACTTGATCTACCTATTTTTGAATGTTTATTCTGTTCATACTAAACTAATAAGCCATTGCCCAACACTTAACCTACAAATAAAATTATTGGAAAGTATACAGTGCATTTTTACTCAGTGCATTTATTTTTAGTAACAATATAAAGAACAATGTTAACTGCTAAAAATGCACTGACCCCTGTAGTAAAATCACTTACAGTAGTAAGATATTAAACAGAAAATGTTAGCAGAACCACTTGAGGGATAGTTTTAGAATGTTTAAGATATTCTAAATCTAAGAAATTCATATTAACCACTTGTAGAAAACTTTCATGTTATCTTTAAGTGACACGATGAACTGCTTAAAACTGATTTTAAAGTAGCAAAGAATTACCTTTTTATGATTAGAAACCCTTCTAAGATTATCCTCTTCAATGTGAGGGAGCTGCAGAAGGGGAGACTTAAATTGCTGAAGGCCTTGCACAGCCATCTGAGAAAGCTTCATGCAGTTTTCTAGGGATGCCAAAGTTGGAGCACGAAACTCCCTTTCTTAGAAAGAATAGGAGGAAAAGACAAGACAGAGCTGGACTTTTTATATGTTCAGGAGTATACAATTCATGACAAAAACAAGATTCATGTGAATATCCTTAACCCCTCAAATTTTAAAATCACAGTGTTGATTTTCCTTTAAAAGTTATTGAATAAAATACCAAAAATATATATTCAAACTTGGTCAAATGCATATTATCCAGCAACAACCACTGATTTAACAGAAAAACTCTTTGCTTTACCTCCAAAAAGAGTAAATTATCAGATATTGTCAGTATCAAGAACATACTGACACCATGCCGAGAACTGACATCATCCATAATAACAAACAACTAGTATCTCCCTTTTTAAGGAACTCTCTCTTTTTCCATTATTGACCAAACTCCCTCACTCTTTTTTCCCTTCGTGCAAAAAACACTACATTTCAGATGAATCATCATTACATCACTTAAAGAATTATTTTAAACTCACTATTAAAATACAGAATAACCTAACTCTAAAAATAATCAGAAGAAAAGGATATTTTAAGTTTTTGCAAACAATAAATAACAATAAACAATAAACATGAAAAAATTAAATTCAAAACTTAAGTTGTGATAAACATTTTACATAGTGAAAAATAGAGGGAAAGAAAAACCATAAATAAAACTGGGAAAGCTGATAAAACAGAATTACATTAAGTACCCACACAATCATAAAACTATGAAGTGTAATCTGCATATGCTTGCAAGGAAAAATACAACATAATTACATCTCCTCCTCACCTTCACGGCTCCGGGCCATTATTATTAGTTGGCAGATTACATTAACCATTTCTTGAAGTAGGGCAGGGCATTTTTTCAGCATAAACTGCTGATCTGCAAAACAGAAAACCTGACAAATCATTCTACCTTTATAGTTAAAACATCTTTAACATCTATAGTCCAAGACTAATATCAAATTTAAGGTATCCTACAAATATCTCACATGACCTCAGAATTTTACAGGTTGAACCCAATAGTGTCTACTCAGTAGCAATATGTCACAAATCATCAGAGAACCCTAACTCAGATTAGATGTTTCAAAGGCCAATTTTTAATATTATGGTGTTGGGCTTTATTAATTAACTCCCTACCTTTTTTTTGGGGGGGGGGGCACAGTTTAATCTTTAACTTAATCTTACTATATTTAAGAACTTTAAGAATTTTCTCCTTGTGCATGTAATTTTCTGAGTATAATTATGGATAAATCCAAAGGCTAAGATTGAGAATAAATGTCAAGTAAATGCACAGAAAGAAATGAAGAGGAGGAGGAGGAGGGGAGAGGGGGAGACTTTCACTTATACAGCCTATAATAGTTAATCAATCATTAAGATCATCCACTGGGCTACTACTCAATCTAAAAATTTTGTTCCTATTTCTTAGATAATTGATAAAAATGGAGATAGTTTCATATATGTACAAAACATGAGAAACATAATTATTAGTTAACTTGCAGCTCTAATAACAATGCTTAAATAGTGCTCCTTCATTCCATCATAAGCATCCCATTCTATCACCAATCACTGAGCATCAACTGGCCTTGTTTTCAGAGGCACTGATTGCATTATTGGCTTAAACGTTTATTCCCTAAGAGTAACATTCTTTTAAAACTTCAACAGAAATAATGCAAGTGAAGAAGAGATGACACTCAATTTCATGGCATCCCTGGAAACACCGCTGTCTCAGTTTACTGCTTTTAAGTAAAATAGATGGCTTCAAATACTTATGAAGCTTTAACTAAAGATTAAATGCTTTATTGGTAACCACTGCTGGAGAGTCGTGGTAGTGGAATAATGGAGTTGACTGAGATACTTGCTGTGAAATCCATCCCCCACCCCCACCCCCTGCAAAAAAAAAGCTTACGAAATCCTTTTTTTAAGTCATCAGGAATCATTGCATAATCTACAACTGACTAAACATTTCTCATATAGAGTATTCTCTCACTGTGAAATACTAAATTTTAACATTTGCTATAACATCTGACTTACTTAGACCTTCCAAGTATTTGTGAAGTAATTATGTAGCATATAGATTTCTTTTTAAAAGGTCCTTGAGCAATTATTTAATTGCGAAAAAAATAACAGTGACAAAAACACTGCACCATGAGGTCTAATTAAATCCTCTACTTTCATATCATTAAAACCCTGCCAAGAGTAGAATCACAAATACCTTCTTCAAGGGTCTCAGGAATTTTCATTCTAGCAAGGTGAGACAATAAAAGAACTCTGGCCTTCAGGCTATATGGACAGGTAAGTGGAGGTTCATTCTTCTTTAAATTAATGCTGCCAATTTCTCTGATCAGCTAGAATAGATGAAATATTATTCAAAAATACACATTTAAAAAAGCATTAACTTTAATAACTAAACTCTTATCAAGGAATTTTAGAGATAGGCCTAACCTGAGGTATGAGAACATTATCTGTTGGTCTGCTTGTGGCATCTTTATTATATTGAGGATCAAATTCAGAGGCTCCAGCCAAAACCATGATAAGACCTAAGAAAACAAAAGGAATAAGAAGGTAAATAAATATATTTACTCACCTATTAATTTCCCCTGTGCTATGATACTTCATTAATCCTAGGGTGAGGCAATTTCCCAACTACACACAATGTTTAAAAGCCATGTGAACTTCACTACTAACAATTATTAATTTCTCCCATAAAAAAAGTCTCACTTTTTAAAATATGCACACTACCTATCACAAGTGAACAGAAATATACATCAAATTAAGGGTCCCAAAGCAACTAGATGCATTAAAATCAATTCAAATAACATCTGTTTCTAGACCTAAGCATGTACTCCACAGAAACTTTCTATAGAGCATTAAATATTCCATGTGATATTAATAAACGTTATGTAAAAAAAAGGGAGGGAGCTTCATGGTTAAATATGGCTAAGAAATAATGAGTTAAAAAGAGTTTTAGGTTTCTTCACTTTATGACTTCTCAGAGCCTTCAGAAAACTAAAATATTCTGTCACTTACAAAAACTTTTATTATAGAACCCTGGAGTGTTTGGGGAAATAGTGTTCCTTGAAATACACGTGATTCGCAGTCACATACAGAGTGAGGCAAAAGTTTACTGTCGTTAGTAGAGTTTTTTCTTGTATTATTTATTAATTATTGTATTTTCCATACAACCATAAACTTACTTTTGCCCCACCCATGTATTAGCATTACTCGTTAGCCTATACAAGCTCTTTAATGACTGGCACTAGAATTATCACTCTCACTATACAGCAGAAAATGCAACTTATTTATAAAATGCAGGACAGCATAGAGGTTAAGAGCATAAACCCTGGAGTTTCCACTTCCTAGCTAAGTGACCTCAATAGTAGTCTTCACCTCTCTATGGACCCTTGGTTTCTTCACAAGAGCCCAACACACAATTAGCACAGTAATACGTGAGCTACCACTCTTACTACCTTCAAATGTTTTCATGAAAATTGTTCCTAAGATAGCCATATAAATGGTGACAACACTAAAGTAACAAAGGATATATAACCAAACCCACCAGCTAAACAATGCTTTTTTAATAGAATTGTATAAGACTAAGTACCACCCTCAGAAACGAAACAGAAATCAAGATTACTAATGCAAAAATCACATGAAAACAGATTATAAACATGAAAATATTTTTATAAGGAAATAGTTCTATATTAATATTTCAATCCAGCATAAGGAAGAGTGGTACGTGTGCATAAAGGAGAGTAACATTCACTTGCTCCTCAGAAATAAAAGATCTGCTCATTCCTCAAATATAATCACACAGTTACATGATCCTGAGGAGTCTCTGGTTATCAAGAAAGATAGTAAAATTGGCAGAAAAATACAGAAAAATCCATTTAGATTTTGGAACAAAAAAATGCATTTTCTAGTGAGGCACAATTTAAAACTCCTATCTTCTTTTCTCTTTTTAAGGAGGGGAAGAGGGATGTCTATGATTTCTGCATAGTAGTGACTCTGAAAGGTAATACTCTATATTGCAAGGATAAAATTTACAATGATACCTTTATGGGATCAAAGAAAGTATCTAGGATGGTACTTCTTTTTTTTATAAGAAATTTTAAAGTAAGACTCAGAATGAAATATCCTGGCAGTTTTCTTTCAACACACCCAAGACCTCTACTCATTTTATTACAATTAATACAGTATAATGTACTGGTTTATGGCTCAGGAACCAGACTGCCTGGGTTTGATCTTGGCTCTGTCACCTACTGTGTATCCTTGGGTTCAGTTTCCTCATCTATAAAATGTGCTTAGAAACAGCACTTACTTATAGGGGCACAGCAAAGATTCAATGAGTTAATACAGGTATAGTGCCTAGTAATGCCTGGTACATAACAAATACTCAAGAAATGTTAGCTGGTATTATTATAAAATTAGCCCACATGAAGCTTTAACATAAAATTTCTGAGAGAAAAAATATACATATATAGCTGAGTAGATGGGAATAACAGGAATAGGTCAAGAAATGAGAAAAAGAGTGTTAGCATTTTCCTCCACCTTTAGGTACATGAACTGAATACCTATAAAACTGTAAAATGGAAATTTCTCCAGTTGAATATACATCAACTCCACAAAAATGACTCAGAAAATAATCTAATGTCACAGTTACTTATGTTTACTTACGTTTCATATCCATATTTCGGGTTTTATAAACAAAATATGTATAAATCTGTGTTGTACGTATTAGAATCTGGTCTCCACTGTAGCGTATTGAGCGATACCACCAAGACCCCTAAAACACAAATAAAATTAAATAAGAAACAAAGCATAAAAACTACAATAAATGTTAGTTTGAAACAGAATATTTTTATGGTCAAATTTTCTAAATTTTCATAAACAAATAAAAATACCTCAGCTTTAGAACAAATGCCTTTATTACATATTGCAAATGATTTATTTAGCAAATATTTATACTGCCTCATGCCTAAACACCAGCCTATCTCACTACATATATATTATTATAACATTTAACTTTCAGCTAGAAGTTGTTTGAAGATAAAACAGGAATGAAACAACCCATTACTATAAGCAACAAGCTGGTTCCTAACACACAGCATGTCTTTAATATTTAATAAATGAATGTAGAAGCAATTTTACAGTTGATATACTATTTTAATTCACATTATTCCATACCATTGGATCCTTACACGAAAATCCTATGAAGAAGGCACAACAAGTTAATTACTAGCCTCACTACAGGACCCAGGAACGATAAGATGAGAAAGAAAACTGCCAATAATAAAAGTAATAAATAGGAAAATCACAAACTTTATGGTATCTCCATATTGAGGTACTATGCAGCTGTTTTTCAAAATGAGCAAAAAAAGACACAATACATATAGTAAGATTTTTTTTTAAAAAATATATGTATGTATACATAATTCATAGAATAATACAGGGTGAGGCAAAAGTAGGTTTACAGTTGTTTGTAATGGAAATACAATAATTAATAAATAATAATACAAGAATAAACTCTGTTTTGTATGCTCACAACTGTAAATCTACTTCTGTCCCACCCTGTATTTAAAACACCAAACTTAAGCAAGGATTATCTCTAACAGAGATATGGAGTTGAGGGAGGTAGTGAAGGAGGAATCATTTTAAACTCTAAATACATCTGCATTTTTATCAGCTGTGCGTAACTTTTGAATTGGTAGGAAATATACTTTAACAAACTCAAGTGATATCACCTTTAGAAGACCTTTAAAGTACAGTTGAATATACAATTCTTAAAATTCAAGGATCAACAGATTATATTCTAATACAAATTACAATCTTACAGGGAGACTCCAAAGCATGCCACCAATTCCCTTTCCAAAAATATGTTAATAAAAAGAGCTAGAACTTACCACAACAACTGGAAGGATGACCATGAATGCCAATCCATATACAAGTAAAACCTAGAATTGAAGAGAAAAAAATTATGGTCTTCATCAGGCAATTTATAACAACATCCACCAACACTTAATTTGAGGCTTACATGGAGGAAGCACTATTAAAAAAAAGCACTCCTCATGTACTATTTTGTTTAATTCTTATTTTCAAACCCTCTGAGGAAGGTAGTAGTATAAATTTCTGTTTGCAGATAACCTGCAGCATATATAGGTTATGTGGCTTGTCCTAGGTCACACAGCTAGTAGGTGGGAGCCAGGATTGCATTCCTGCTCTAGAACCTACATTCTTTTCCACTATAATAAATTACCTTTTCATTTGCTTTATAGATAACACCAGCAAACCAGAAATTATATTTCCTCTCCAGTCAAGTACTTATATATCCACACCTTGGCAAGTGGTTAGTGCCTTGGAAATAAATAATAGAACCCTGCTTGGTTCCTTTGTCTAAATATCGAGGAGCAACTTCATAATGTTCTGTTTGAAGTCTACTGGTCTCAGATTTCTCACCTACTACTTCATTCCTACTCTGGTAGCTATCTTTCTCTTCTCTAGTATTCCCAGAGTAAGCCTAGGCATGTTAAACATACTTTTATGTACAGCAACTACACACCATTGAAGATAACCAAAGTTAATCTGCCATAAAATAACATTAAAAAGCCACTTCAAAACAAATTACAGACTATAGCGATTTGGTTTTTATTACTTCAAAGACAGCTCCTAGATAATTACTTTCAAGAACACAGGAAATCATCTATTCCTGAACAATAGAAATTCCTGATGTTTTAGAGTTCAACATCTATAACTGATTTGAAGTCTGACATCCTATTATCTCCTGAAGGACCATATGGAATATACACCATTAATTTAGCATACATTAAAATTAATTTAGGCTGGGTAAATATGAAATGAAGAATAATTTAAAATTTGAGCACAACTTAGGATAAATATAGATACCCTAAAAAACAGTAGTTCAGGTCAAGATGGCGGCATAGGTAAACGCGGTACTTGAATCTTCCCACAACCACATTAAATTACAACTAAACTACAGAACAACTATTATTCAGAACTACCTGAAATCTAGCTGAATGGAAGATCTACAATTAGGGATTTAAAGAAGAAGCCACATCGAGACTGGAAATAAATAAAAGAACCCTGCTTGGTAGGAGGGACGGAAACACAGAATGGGCTGGTCCCACACCCATATGTGCTAGATATAAATTGGGAGGGATATTTCAGCTGGCGAGGTCCCCCCTGAGGAGCAAGGAATCCCAGCCCCACACCAGGCCCCCCAGCCCAGGGTTCCAGTGCCAGGAAGGGCCACTGAAGTCCCAGGCAGTTCCTCTTAAAAGGCCTGCACACAGAACTTATTCAGGCCCGCTGCCTCTGCGCTCCAACTCAAAAGGCACCAGGGACATACAGGGAGGAAATGAATTGTCTGGCATCAGAGCAACAGCTGGAGGGGCAGTTCTCTGCCAGACAAAAGTACTGGCAGAGACCATTGTTCCTTTTCTGAGACTCCCTCCAACCTCACAGAGCCTGCAGGTAGGTGCTATTATCTGAATTTCCATCAACCTGGCTCACACTGTTTGCCCCACTCTGGTGATTCCGAGACCCACCCAACCCAAGCTATTTCCAGTGGTTTTTCCATACAAACTGCCTGTCTTGGCACCTGCTATGGACTTTTCAAAAATCCCTCAAAAGTTCACAAATTGCAAACAAGCAGCATCTAGCCTTGGCGTGTGCCGTACCTCTCACTAAGTGGACCCAGCCCCAGCGCTAGTGTCAGTCAGCCCTGACTCACAGCTTGGCCTCTCCTGGCACCTACAAACCCAGCACAAGTAGTAGCTATCTACAGATCACTCTGTAGCTCACGTCAGGTGGCCTTAGGCATGGCAAAAGCTGTGGATGACCTTGCACCTCCTGGAAGATCCCAGAGCCAGTACACCTAGTAACAGCTTCAGACCACCTCTACAAGCAACACACTCAAGAGGCAAATTCCATGAGCACCAAAGCCCCACTGAAACAAGTCCTACTCCACAGAGTTGGCTCATGCACTGTAGCTCCTCTGCTGTAGTAAGAGCCGGTCCTTGCAGCTGATCAGCATAGAAGTCAATCCCACCCAGAGACACCAACAGCAATTAAGGCTCAACTACAACAGGACAGCGCACACAGCCCACACAGGGGCACACCTAGAGCACCCAGCTGGGGTGATGAGAGGCTGCACCACTAGGCCCCACAAGGACACCTACTACACAAGGACACTCTACCAAGTCGGGGAGACATAGAAGCTCTACCTAATACATAGAAACAAACTTAGGGAAGCAGCCAAAACGCAGAGACAAAGAAACAGGTGCCAGATAAAAGAACAAGAGAAATTTCCAGAAAAAGAACTAAATGAGCCCTGGCTGGTATGGCTCAGTTGGTTGGAGTGGCAGGTTTGATTCTCAGTCAGGGCACATACAGGGTTAAATCCCCAGTCAGGGTATGTGTGAGAGGCAACCAATAGATGTTTCTCACATCTCTCTTTCTCTCTCACTTTCCCTCCTCTAAAAAAAAAAAAAAAAAAATCAAAATTTTTTTAAAACTTAAAAAAAACAAAACTAAATGAAATGGAAGCAAGCAAGCAAATTACCAGATAGAGTTCAAAACAATAGTTTTAAGGATGCTCAAGAAACTTAGTGAGAACTTCCAACAGCATGAAAAAAGACATAGAAACCAAAAATGGAACCAGTCAGAAATGAAGGATATACTAACTGAAATAAAGAATAATTTACAGGAATCAATAGTAGAGTAGATGAAGCCAAGAATCAAATCAGCAATTTGGAACATAAGAAAGCAAAAGTACTCAATCAGAACAACAAAAAGAAAAAGGAATCCAAAAATATGAAAATAGTGTAAGGAGCATCTGGGACAACTTTAAGGGTACCAACATTAGCATAATGGGGGAACTAGGAGGAGAAGAGAGAGAGCAAGAAACTGAAAACTTATTTCAAAAAATAACAGCCAGGTCAGCGTGGCTCAGCCACTGAGCATCAACCTATGACCCAGGAGAATGCAGTTCGATATGCAGTCAGGGCACATGCCTGGATAGCAAGCTCGATCCCCAGTAGGGGGCATGCAGGAGGCAGCTGATCAATGACTCTCTCATCACTGATGTTTCTCTCTCTCTCCCTCACCCTTCCTCTCTCTGAAATCAATAAAGATATATTTAATAACAATAATAATAATAATAATAATAATAATAATAGAAAACTTCCCTAACATGGTGAAGGAAATAGACATATAAGTTCAGGAAGCACAGAGTCCCAAATAACATGAACCCAAAGAGGCCCATACCAAGATACACCATAATTAAAATGCAAATGGTTAAAGACAAAAAATTTTAAAAGCAGGAGAAAAACAGTTATTTACCTACAAGGGAGCTCCCATAAGACTGTCAACTGATTTCTCAACAGAAACTTTGTAGGCCAAAAAGGAGTGGCAGGAAATATTCAGAGTGATGAAAAGCAAGGACCTACAACCAAAATTACTCTACCCAGCAAAGCTAACATTTAGAATCGAAAGACAGATAAAGAGCTTCCCTTACATGAAAAAGCTAAAGAAGTTCATCACCACCAAACCAGTATTACATGAAATGTTAAAGGGTCTTCATTATGAAGACAAAAAAAGATAAAAACTATGAACAATAAAGTGGCAATAAATGCATATCTATCAACAATTGAATCTAAAAACCAAAATAAACAAACATGTAGAGCAGAAACTGACTCAAATACTGAGAACATTTTGACAATTGCCAGATGGGAGGAGGGTTGGGGAGATGGGTAAAAAAGGTGAAGGGATTAAAAAGTACAAATTGGTTGTTACAGAATAGTTATAGGGATGTAAAGTACAACACAGGGAATATAGTCAATAATATTCTAGTAACTATGTATGGTGTGAGATGGGTATGAGATTTATTGGGATGATCACTTAGTAAGTTATATGTCTAATCACTGGGTGTACACCTGAAACTAATAATATTGTATGTCAACTATAATTGAAAAATAAATGATTAAATGTTCAAAAAAACTCCTGTCATTCCTCATACTCCTGTCATTCCTCAAACCAGGAGTATGACCTGATCTGAAACTGCCTCCCAAAGAAAATCACCACAACTTTAAGATTTTAAAACTACATGTAGAACACATTGCCCAAGCCAGCAACCTAATAATGGGAACCAATTCTTTTCTCTATCATGTAAAAAGTTTCACAATACACAGTTAAATTAAAAAGCATACCAGTACTTTCATTGTAATAGCTTTCTTAATGTCAAAGGCATTATAATGTGTTTTATATTTAAATGCACTCACCAAAATTGAATTTTTCTGGTCAACTATCCAAGCTGGCAGGGCTATTCCAAAGCTTGTGGCTAAAATAGAAAGAACATTTCTGTACTTCCAGTTTTATTTATATCCCAAAATTCTGCCTCTTACCTCCACAAAAAATAAATAAATAACTGAAAAAGATCATCTTATTATGTGTTCCCATTACACAAGTTAATGGATATAGTTTATATCTGAAACTAAATTTTTCCAGAAGGAAAAAAATTTCAATCCTAGTACATGAATTCCTTCTTCTTAAAAAAAAAAAACAAAAAAAAACAAAACACTAAATTCTTTTATATTCTCTAAGTTTATGTAAACACTATGAATACATCAGAAAATGTTTAGTCAGCAAAGAAAACATTTTTTTCATCCAATTTTCATGAACTACTAACTGGAAATGATGAATGACAGTAACCACTCTTCTCATCAAATCAATCTAAGTTTTATCTTCCAAACTAGTTTCAAGAAAAATAAAATTAAAAATTAATTAAAGAGAACTTAATTTACATACCTGTTTAACTCCCGTGACTGTAATTTCCCTACTCATAAACTAAGAAAATCAAAATACTCTTTTCTATCTAATTAACATTTTAATAATATATACCACATCCCCAGTATGTTTTAATCATTATTTACCACACCTTGAGGTCCATCTGGATTTCCAAACTCTTCCCAATTTTTCCGGGACTCTTCATCAGTTAAACTAGCATCAAAAGAACAAAGTTTAATAGTTTAAAAGCCCCATCTGCAAAATAAGTACTCATATATACAAACGCCATTAACCAACCAACTCATTTCTTAAAGATATTAATTTCAGAGAATCAAGAAAAGCCTCTCTGAAATCAGAAAAAAAATGGGGG